TGTTCTCCAGGACCTGATCACTCTCTGGTTCATAATGAGCACATGAAATAGCACAACTTAGAAGACAATATTTTTGTCAAAATGATTCCCCACCTCCCCACAACACACTGAAACACCTCTGTGTGCAGGTGTTGCTCTAGTTTAAGTTAATTACAGACATGAATTAAGTGGTGGGTCGACATCTGAAGCATGCACATATTTGTAGCAACAGCATGAAAAAGAATAAATGAAAAATAAAAAAGATTATAGGTATCACAAGGCAGATATCTTCTTTTCCATTCTGTTTTCAAATTTCTGAAAAGATTCTGGTTATAGGCCTCCTGAGTACTACTGCTATTTAAAAAAGAAAGTCTGAAGTAGATGTTGGAGAACAGCCTGCATACCTTCAGGTGAATTTATATGATAAAATAAAATAGATGTTAAAATAAATGGTAAAATAAAAATAATCCATGCAGATACTTAGGCAGATGCTTTTACTAGCAATAACACTTAGCATTAATGTTATATCACTAAAATAAAACGCATGATGAGTATCATCACTAAGATTTTGGGGGTTTTGCCACTTAATCCTCTGAATGTTTCAGAGTGCCATTATCCTTATACACGTGAGGACTGTGTTTGATTTTAATAGGCCTATCTATATATGCAGTTAAATGAATAAAGTTTCTGCAAGACTGTTAAGGAAAGATGTTTTATTCTTTATGAAACCAGAAATTAGACCTACATGGTAAGAAGAAGGGTCTCAGTGTTGAGATGGGGCCCACAGTGGGACAAGTCTGAGAGAGTTGCTTGGTAGGAGAGGGGCGTGGTGAAGGTGCTCCAGTGAAGGGACAGAACTCTGGAGTGTTGAAATTGAGAAAATCCTGTTGGTTGTAGCATCTTGGACTGAAAGTGCCACCCCGGGGGAGAGAAAGATCAATTTGTGGTTTAGAATGTATAGAGGGAAAATTCTGATTATAAAGATTCCTATGAGCTCCTTATTGATGAAAACTGGACAAAGTTGCAAATGACAGGTTGAGGAAGAGAAGATGTTGCAAAGGCCATGCCGTTCAAAGAGATTTTTAATTCTCTCTCTTCTTATAAAAAAGCATGAAGAGTGAAAAGAGTGTAACAAAAGGAAATTTCTTTCCTCTGCCACTAGTACAAGTTTCTCTGGTTACAACCTCTCTTATCACATTGCCAAATTATGAAATACTTATTAAAAAAGAGCTATTTAAAAAAAAATAAAATTAATTATTTAAATTATATATTTATTTATATTTATATATTTATATATATTATATACAATATTATATATTATATTTAAATATAATTTAAATATATTAAATATATATTTAAATTATAGATATTAAATTATATATATATTGAATATATATAAAATTATATATATTATTTTAAAATATTTCCTTAAATGTAAAGTGTAGCTGCTTATAAAGGGAATATCTTGCAATAATTAAAAAAAAAAAAAAGTATCATAAATGGTCAGCTTTGTTTCTGAGCTAATCATAACTGAGAAGATAAGATTAGTTTGGCTACCCAGTATGTTGCCTTTTAAGGATATTGGTTAAGGCCTTGTAGATTATTTCTTGGGAGGTGTAAATGGCCGGGGATAAGATTGTTTGCTTTCACAGACAAACACAGAGAACTAGTTTTTCCACACTAGTTTCTCCTGTAAATGATTTCTTTGCCTTGTTTTTGTGTTTCTAAATCCCTTTTCCCCCGGAAAGCACTGTACATAAATTGGATACATTACTGAACAGCCTTGCTTTTGTGATCTATCTCACTAATAAGTCAAAAGACTGATAAATGTTATAACCATGCATCATCTGACAAAGTTGTGTTGGTGATCTACAGCATAATTTAGCGATGTTGAATTACAAAAGGATGGGGAAATTGGAAAATGAAGGGGTCTGCAGTATAGATTTGAGTGAATAACCATATGAGTGCTTTGAGCAGAGCAGTTGGCTCCAGAGGCCCTTTCTAACTTCACTGTGTTTTCTGACAATTGGTAAAGTGATAATAGTGATTACCTGTGAAGAACTTAAGTATGGGATAAAACACAACCCTGTTTCCAATTGAAGGGAAGAAGTTAGAGAGAAGTGTATAATGAGACATTTCTCTACCCAAATTTAACTTCCAACCTGTAAGAACAACAACATAAATAAAAATAAGAACAACATCAACAACAATAAACAACAACAAACAACAATAATAAATAAAAAAATAAATAATAATAAACAATAATAATAATAGATTAAAGCAACCACTGTATGTGGTGTTGAACATGTACAGCCCCATGCACTTCTAGAAATGGAAACCATTATTAGTAGTTGCTTCTTCTGTCACAAATTCTTGCCATGCATGAGTAGGTACCCTGAAGAACCCACACTTAGGATCAGATTAGTTGAGTTTTGGCCAGTTTGCCAGGCTCTCTTTTCTTTTCTGGGCAACATCTCATCATCAGGAAAATGGTGATGTCTGAGCTTTGGCAAATGCATGTTGTGCCATCATGCTTGGTACTTCATGCCTATTTTTTAGACAAGTTTATAAGGTAAAGCAACAGCTCTGTGGAGATTGTTAGGTGACCTTTTCAGAGTTGTGGATGGCAAAAAGCGTTCTGTGTTTGTCCTGATGAATATTTCTAAAGCCTGTCACCCTGTAACCTGATCAGGATTTGTGGATTTGCTCCTTCTGAAGAGATTAGCCCTGAGGAGTTATGATGGACACCTCTCACCTCCCACCCAAGTTCCTCCTCTGCTTGTTGTACCACTGAAGAAAACCCCCCTGATGCACTGCAGCCCAGTGCAATATGTGAATAAAAGCTGTATGAACTTTTCCAACCTGAGTGTCTAATAAATCAGTGCCTCAATAAAGAACAGATGACTTAACCTGTGAGACAGGAAGGTGGGGAAAAAGTCAAGGAAAAAGAGCACTTTCACAGTCTACTCAGACTCTGTGTTGATTAAGGCCATCTAGTTTCAATAGAGGTCAAGTGCCAGCTGCAACTTCACTTTCTGGCAACAAATCAGCTCCTGCAATAGTCCTTCTACCAAAACTGCTCTATTAGAATTAATTAGACCTTACAGAGTGACTGCTGGTCTGCAGTTACTGTGAGGGGGGAAGTCCTTGTCACTGGGCTTCTTTCCCTGGTAAGCAGAGGTGAATGTTTTTATTTTATGTGGCAAACAGCTCCTGTAAATTATCAGCGAGTATGTTTTATAAGGGTCAGCTGATTATAGATAAACCTTTCCCCAGAGAAGAAGGTCACTGTTCTAATTACACTGCTTTAATGGGGTTTTGACTTGGCTGTTGTCAGCAGTTGGTTCCAGGTGGGTCGGGGACTATTTTTGCCACATTCTTGGTGCTTGCAAAGATAAACAAGCAGTGGGAGCAGCTTTATGAACAGCAAAGATAACATTTATATAAACATCCCAAGACACAGAAAGCTATGTAAATAGAAAGATTCTGGTCTCTGACCAGTCTCTGTGCCAGTACCTGCAGGTATTTGTAAGGCACTTTCTTACTGAGATGACTAATAAGGCAAACAGGTAGGAAACTTTCCTGTGGGGGTAGCTGTGCATAATCCTTTTGTGTCCATGCTGTGCATTTTGCAGAGGACAGGGGGGTGTTTTGCTGGCTCAGAAGAAATTATTCTTTATGTGTTACATCTTACAGAGAGATGTAACATCTTACAGGTGAAAGAGGGTGAAAGAGAAAAGGACATTTACAAAGCCACGAGAGAAAAAAAATATAAAGGGGAGAATAATTGCCCATTCCTCCTCAGTATTATGACAGAAGGACAGATAATAAGTAGCCCCAGCTGAAGAATGTAGGGCTTTGAAAAAGTGATCACAACAAAGTAAAAAAGATTTAGATACAAGCTTGAAAACACCCAGGAAAGGAAGGGGCAGATTGCTCTTTAGCTGATCAGTGGACAGTCCAGCAGGGTTTTCTTCCTTCCTTTCTTTATTTTTTTAATAAGCTTAGAAATGGTATAATAAATGTGTTCTCTAGTAAAACCTCACACAAAGTTTAAACAAGTGACTTTTCTGTGTAGGTGATCTAGCTACATTTCATGAAAGCCAGTTATATTGTGATGATAATACCCTTACCAGTGACCCCAAGAAAAATAGTATAGCTTCACCTCTTTTATCCAGATTTGTATGTGTGCTTACATTAGGGATTTTAGCAGGTGAACTAGAACCCAAGATGAATTTGCAAGATTTAAAATTAATAAATTCTTTAGGAGCTCTCATTTTAATATTACAGAAATTGTTAAAAATGCAAAGTTTTTAAAGCTATTTTCATCAGTTTTCTTTAGAGCTACTCCTCCCAGTACAGAGAAAGCTTGGTGAATTAGGGCCCAGTTCAGCACAATTCTTAGCTGCACAGGATATTGATGTATTGATGTATTGATACCAAGTTTTCTACTGTTGGAATGTGCTTCTATCCATGTGTCGTGGTTTAGGAATGAATATTCCACAGTTTAGTGTTCCCACTGACAACAAATGTGCTACCTGCTCACTCCCCACTCTCCCCCTGTAAGGGGACAGGGAGGAGAACAGGAAGAACAAAATGCACAAGGACCCAAGATTAATTTGCACGGTTTAAAATTAATAAATTCTTTAGGAGCTCTCATTTCAATATTACAGAAATTGTTAAAAATGCAAAGTCTTTAAAGCTATTTTCATCATTGTTACTTGATCGAAGCAGTATTCCTTTGCATCTCTGTCTTTATCTTGGAAAGGGAAAAGTGTAAGGGACACAAAAAATTTAACATGTAGCTGTTGCCATAGATTTTATGTAGAAGTTGATTGTAAGCTACATTGATTACTGCCAGCACAAAACCCCTGGACAAATTGAGTAAGATGGAAAGAGTACTATGTTAACATTTCTTATGCCTTCAGCTCTTCTCCCCAGACAGTTTTAATGAAACATGACAGTTTGGTTCCTTGTTTTCATCATAATTTTTTTCCTGACGAGTTGTCTTGTTCTTGCAGGAGCAGCTTAATGTCGACAGCATGGGGCATCAGGTGATAATATTTGACTTTTCCGTCATAAGAGGACTGTGGGAAACTCGAGTTAAGAAGAACAAAGAACGCCAGAGGAAGGAGAAAGAAAGATTAGAGCAAAGTGCATTGGAGAGGTAAAGCCAACTTTTGTGCTGCTCATTTTAACTGAATCTGTTCTTATTACCCACTAACACTGTCATGTACTAAGCATTACTCGATGATTAAAATTTTGCTTTTTTGGGTTCAGTTTCAATGATTTCTCACCTCCTTTCCTCAGATGATTGTAAGAGGAATGCAGCACAAACTGTGCTTGTATTTCCTTAGTCCCTGCTCTTTTCCAGTGTAGATTGGGATTTACCAACTGTGTATTTTATTGTTTAGTTGACTCAAACCGAAGAGAAAAATAACACATTTTTTGCCTTTCTATGTCTTATATGCTATATAAAAGTATAGCTTATTAATTATGGAATTCATGCAAACATACTTGTTTCAGTACTAAGAAATACTTAATTTCATTTTCTTGAGTTAAGAGGGGAAACAAAAGGAATTAAATTTATGGACACATTCAATTGTTTGTGAATAGGAGATAAAGAATAGAATAAAAGAATTTCTTTTTTTTTGAGGTATTAAAGATGTCCTTGATTATAATGCTTAACGTCCACTAATATTTTTATTGTTTTTATTATATTTGATTTATGGTTTCCCTAAGAAATATTTTGCTTCTCATAAGACACTGTTGAATATTATACTGGATATATGAATATATACTGAATATATACTGAACATATACTGAATATGTTGAAAACTTATGACTTATTTTTCTCCCTCCAAGAAGAGAAAAAAGGAATAAAAATCCCTTTCTACTTTAAAAAATAAAATGCACGGGGTTAAACAGTGCCCTTTCTTAAGAACATCATTACATTGAACCTTCATGTGGTGTTTTAGTGATCTCAGGGGACTCCCACTCACAGATTCTCTCACTGCCAGTGCATCTGCACTGACAACACAGCTGCTGGTCTGAGAGGAGATCTAATACAAGGTCTGACTGTCCTTTCTGCAGGACCTTTCTCTTCAAGACATCTGTAGTAACAGCCTTGGTTCTTCCATCCCTACCAAAGCCTGAATTAAAAACCGTAATCCTAACAAGGAAAGAGAAAAGGAAAAAGAAAAAAGGAAAAAGAAAAAAGAAAAAAGGAAAAAGTAAAAAGGAAAAAGAAAAGAGGGAAAAGAAAAAAGGAAAAAGAAAAAAGAAAATATAAGTTCATCCCACAAATTGAATTCTCTAGCAAGACCTTTCTTTTTGGTCTGAGCTGTGTCCTAGTTTCAGCTAGGATCGAGTTAGGGAGCCCAGCCAGGACAGCTGACCCAAGCTGGATATTCCATATTATAGAACATTATACTCAGTCTATAAACTGGTGGAGTTGGCTGGAAGTAACTAATTGTTTCTCAGGAATGGTTTGGGAATTGTTCAACAGGTTGTGAACAGTTGCATTGGGCATCACTTGTTTCTCTTGGGTTTTATTTCTCTCTCTCTCTCCTCTTCCTTATTATTATTGCCATTAATATTAGTAATATTATACTTTACTTTTTTTCTGCTAATAAATTGTTCTTATCTCAGGCAAACTTTTACTTTCTTTTTTTCCTGATTCTTTTCCCATCCCACCAGGGAGCTGAGGAGTGTCTGTGTGGTACTTGGTTACTGTCTGGGGTTAAACCATGACAGCTGAGAGATGGATGTTTCCTGTTTCCCTTATGGTGGAAAAGACAATTGAAAAGATTTGGGATGAAGCTTGATCAAACCTTATTTCTGTCCCAGTGTGGACAACATGTCAACACCCCCCACCACATTTTTTTTTTTTGGTTTTTGTTGTCTGTGGTGCAGAAGAGAACTTTTGAGCTCGTCAGTAAAAAAAAGCAAATCAGGATCCAAGAATGGGCAACTTCTCACGTAAGAGGGAAAGAGGGTAACCTTATGTGCTCTGAGGTAGCTAATTTGAGCTCCCATGTTTTTAGCTAGTAGCACAGGTCAAGACTAATTTCTTACTGTGACTTGTCTTTTCCATAAAACCAATACATTCTCCCTGCCTTTTCTGCCTGTGGTTGTTTGTCTGTAGCCACCCTTGCACCTGAAAGAAGGGAGCTCGGCTGCTTGCTCTGACCTTTTCTGCTAATGGGGTCCAAAGTCATTCTGTTATCTCCCTGTAGCAACTGGAGATGTGGAATTTGAGATATAATGCACAGAAATAAAAGGGCTCGAGTGCACTCGCAGCACGCAGGAAGGGTTTTTGTTTTCTTCCTTTAAATTGCAATTTGCACGCTGTGCTTTGGGTGGTTGTGCACCTTCATGCTCTCAGATTGCTTTCCAGCTAGTTCTGCTTCTAGAGCTCCTGGAAAAAAGGAGGAAATACATTTAGGTTTTGTCTCCTGAGTATGAGTGATCAGTGTTTCACCCACTGTGATGAATGGCAAAGTCCATATTCGTCCTTACAGAATAGACAAAGCTGGCAGAATAACAGGCAAAGTAATATGAGTATTAGTAATAACATGCTAAATTCAGTTAATAGAAAATCCTCTTTGTTTTATGAAGTGTGCAGTGACCACTGGCATTTAGGTCCTGAATGTCAGACCACAAGTTATTTCTTGGGTGCTTTTCGGTGCTCTCAAATGTTGGGCCAAAAATATGACAAGACTTTGCTTGTTGTTGTCTTGAAAGTATAGATAAAATTTTAATTATGATTAAATACCTAATAGAAATAACGTTTTCCTGTAGAAATACATTTAATTATTTTATGGAGTAAAAATAAAATACTATTTTATTTTTAAATAAAATAGTGTGTAACTAAATTCTGGTATAATATCAGAATAATAATAATATTCTGCTATTGTCAGGTAGGCACACTGAAATCAATGTTAGTACACACTGTGCCACAGCAAGAAAGTGTTTTGTAAAGGATTTTGATCCAAAGTGATGTTTCCACAAAGACATTTAAAGAAGGCAGTTAGTTGCCCCAGATGAGGGCTGCATTCCAGCATTTAAGATTCTAGATATCTACTTTTGCCAGCAGCCAGAGCGAATTCCTAAGTAGGGCTGAAATGAATAGATTTTCTCTGCAAATAGACTCGTGTAACAGATGAGTTTGGAATCTGGCCTTCTGAGGCTGCTTTGTTTTTCTTTTTTTTTTTTTTTTTATTTTTTAACAAGTTTTTCCTCAAAGAACTTACAATTTGCCAGTGCCCTTGAGATTGCACAGGTCCTTTATAGCCATGTTGCCACGTAAAATGACCTAATAATTTGTAGTGAAGTGTAGTATGTATTATTGGAGGACAAACTCCCAGTTAAGCTCTAGGGAACTCTGCTTGCCTTGGGGCAAGGCAATTCTTGATGCAGAATCAGTGAACAGTCACATATAAGATATTTTTTGACTGGAGGTTTTCTCAGAGAAAAATCTCACAAATGAACAAAAAGCTTAAACTCTGTTGGCATCAACAGTGAGCTCTTGTAAAGATTTTTGGGAATTTACAGGTCTAGAGCAGAGGTTGAAGCAACTGCCCAGTGAAAGCTGATTCTGGAGAGCCGACAGCTGTGAGAGATTCATATCTGGCCTTCTGAGGTGTTGGTATCACACAATTTTGTGTGGAATTAATTCAGTCCTCTGTTTCCCCCCTGGTTTTGTGGGACTGTGGAAGTATGGCAATTTAAAGAACACACACAGACCAGCAACTGAATATAAAAGGAAAAGAAATAGAATGGTGTTGTACAGGTTTAATTTCAATTTACTTCACGTTCTTGATCGATCCAGACAAGCCCATTCTAAATCTCCCATAGGATATGAAGCACAAACTGTTACAAGGTTATCTATGTGTTTATGGAAGTGCATATTATTGGAGGAAGTTTGTGTTCATAGCAGTGTTTTATATTTAATCTTCTTGATCCTGGTAGTGGGGAACAGTCTTGTATTTTACCCTGAAATAATGAATGTTGTCAGGTTAACTTGATGTAGTTTGATGGTTTTCCTCAATAAGTTTTCCTTTCTACTTTTATTTTTTTTTTTAAGGGAGTGAGAGTGAAAGTTTACAGTTGGATTTTTTTTTTTTTTTAAGGATTGTGACATGTTTGTCTTCTTTGTGTGAGAGCAGGTGAGATAAAACTGAAGGCTAACAAATTAAGCATTCAAGCAAGGAAATGCCAGAGCTGTTTGCCCAGATTAGCTATCTAAGTCTTTGCTGTGAAAAGGCACAGCCTCTTCTCTCCACTAACAAACATGCAGCAATGATAAAAGTTTGTTCAGCTACCTCTTCCAGAGTGTCTCTTCTCCAAAAATTTCCTCTCAAAGCCTGGCTGGCTAAATGTGCACGCGTTATTTTTCTGAGTTATGCACTTCCTGAATGTTAAAAGTAAAAAGCAAAAAGCAAAAAGCAAACTACACTCTACAGGCAGACAGTGACTGTTTTTCCCTGAGAGGTTGCATGTTCATTTAACAAAAAAGATTTGTCTCTATCTCTCTGCCAGACTTCAGTTTGTACCTGAAATAAGATTTTATTTGCGATGTTTATTCTCCTACCCAGTTCAAAACTTTTTCCCAGCAAGTCTAAAACTTTGTCCACAAACACAAATTATAGACAACAAGCTGGGATTAGATGTGCAGCACTAATAAACACTTTATTTTTAGGCACCTGGGCATACAGACCTTGCATGTAAAATAATGTGAGGTAATGGTGTAAGGTAAAAGCTGTTGTTCAGCCACAACCCTTTGCAACCCATGGAAAAGCCTGGCAACGAGGTTGAAATTAGATCAATTCAATTGAGTTTGTTACTCATCCATCAGGAATATTGTTTTGGGCTGAGCTCCAGTTTAACTGTGATGCTCTTACAACAATTCCATGGGCCTATTCAATCATCCTGCGTGGCTGGTGATGCCTAAACTGATGTCACCGTGTCCTGGCCAATTCTTCCATCCTGATTTAGAGCAAATAGTGCCATCTAACGAAACTTCCTTTCTTTACCAAAGAGCCTCAAGGACTCCCAGTCAGACACTGAGCAGCAGGTGCTACATTAATTGGAAGAAACCCAATTACTCCTCGTTTGCTTTGATGGCTCTGAAATCCTCACCAATGCACACTTCTTGTTTTCCAAGGTGGTTGCTCCTTTGAAGGGCCCAGTCACTGGATTTTTTTTTGTAGTAACTCTTTGCATCAGGTTGATTAGACTGGAGAAACTAAAATGTCAGGCGAGGAGCTGCCCTGTTATTGACAGGTAATATGTATAAAAATAATAATAATAATATAGAAAGGTTGTGTGTTGTGAAATCTCATTTCTGCAGGTGTACTGCAGTAGTGAAACAGCATTTGGGGAATGATTACCTGATGAGAAATTCAGCACTAACCCAAATGGAAATACTCCAATCTTCTATTTCCCTGGTGTTCCCATTTCATACCTACGGTGTATGGTCCTGAAAGCTTACTGGAAAAAGGCAGTGTATTGGGAAATAACTTGCCAAAGTAAAATTTGCTTTATACTACATACAGTCTGCCTCAGTGACAGGTGTGCTTTTGTGTTACAGATATATGGGTATAAAACTTAACTTTTTTTTTTCTCTTTTGTCAAACACAAACTACACGCAACCAGCCTTTTCAAAAATGACTTGGACCATTTTTATGATTGAAGTGGAAACACTGGGCTAGTTTCATGAGTTGGAACCTTAGTTCTCATCTCGATCTTTTGTCCAGGAAAAATATTTTTCTCTGTTCATACTCCCACCTAAATTAGGCTTGACTAACTCCAGCTTTTTAAACACTGAAAATGATTGTTGTTTCTTTAATCTGACTGCAACAGTTTGATCAAGTTCTAGAGGAAGACCAAAATATTTTATTACTGAATAGTATTTAAAAGACATGAACTTTAGGAGGGCTGTGATTTTTGTAACCAGCTCATTTCCCAGGTGTGAAAACGTGTTTCTGCAATATCAAGAGCCTTCAAGGCGTCAAGACCAGAAATCTAATTTCTCTGTGTATTTAAAAAATGATTTTATTTCTGTGGATATCTGTGATGTCTGTTTTCCACACAGTTTTAGAAACCTTTTCTTTCAGAAAATTCAGAAAGATTCAGAAGATTCATGCAACAGCCTTCAGATATGACAAACATGGCAGAAATTCTGTCTTATTTGAGGGTTGCCACCGAAGAAAGACTTGAAATGGTCTTTATATTTATAAAGATCCCTTAAGAAGTACCATCACCTCAGTTTTTTTACAGTGACAGAGCAGAATGACAATGTTGTGCCCCAATAGATCCCTTTGGTTTCATCCCAACTGAACTCTGCAAATTGCAGCTTTGTGGTCTTTGCTTCCTGACAGGTCCTGGCTGGGGTGTAAGTCAGAGCTCCAGGCCAGGAAGGCTCACAGGGATTCATTTGCTCAGTGTGTAACCCGAGAGTACAGGCAGGGGTTGTAAATTATTTGAACCTCTGCCTGTGGGAAACATAATGTTTTCATTCTGAAATGTGCTGTACAAAATTATGCACTTTTGTTGCTCCGTTATTAATTCGCTTTCCATCTGTTCAAAATGTTCTTGTACATAGTCTAGTGACTATAAGTGGGTATTCTTGCATTCTTTAAAAGCTTAACAGAGCACGTTGCCATAATTTAATGTAGGACTAAAGAAGCAATTTGACACAGGATTTCCATATCAGTGTGTAATATCCATATTGAATTCCCCACCAGGTTTAATTTTTAATGCCTCTCTTTCTTCTGAGGTCAATATTTCACCGACTGGTTTGCTCAACAGCAGTTTTTTGTTGTGTGCATTTTGTTTTAGTTGGCTGGCAGTGACCTCCCGTGTTTTGTGTTTTGTTATCAGCAAACTGTCAGAGGGCAGTTTATTGTTTCAGCTTTATTGTAGCCCCTTTCTTGCCATTTTCAATATTCATTGTTGTGAGAGAGTAAAATTTTAGATCTGAGCCCTCTACTCCAGTGCTCCTGGAGTCTACCTGACTGAGGTGTAGTAGTGCAGCTCAGTGCCTTACTTCTTATTGAGTTAGACTTTTTGACCTCTTCTGTCTGTTTGTTTTTTTTTTAAGTTTCTAACATTCTTAGAATTTAGAATTTTCTGTGAGGAATCAGTCAGTCATTTTTTTTGGTGATTGAGTGAAGAGCAATGAATAAAAAAACCCCACCCATTTTGTTGGCAAGGTTTTTTCAGTGCGTTGAGTTATGCACTGAGATCAAATGTTTGTTGCTCTGATGGAAAATGAAGGACTTCCATGGAAATGAGAGGGTAGTAATGTAAAGTTAAACTTCACAGAGGGACAGAAAAGCTGTATGTGGAGGACTGGAGCAGAATGTGAGAAACAGCACTACAGTGGTGGTAAGTGAAACTAAGATTATTTAGAATATTTTAGGAAAAAATAGTGAATTCTAGGCTTTTGGTCCTGTGGTCCTGAGGTTTCTGCCTCTTAATGGTTCAGATAATTACAACATCTGCCTTTTTTTTGTGCTGGTGGTTTCTGTGGCTCCAATGGCAGATTGAACAGGTAAGACCAACACTAAAAATTGAATTGACTCACGTGTCAGAGCATCTGAAAAAGGTGTTCGAACTTTCATGTCTGATATGGAAAATATCAGCTGATGTGGAAAATTCTGTCATCTGAGCACTTATGAGCTGTAACTGGAGGAGATACCCTTGGTAGTGCTGCCTAGTGCAATCCTGTGTTTGGGTCTCTGTAACCAGAAATATCATCTGCAGCTCATTGAAGCATCACAATGTGGGCTAAGGAGCTGTGTCTGCTCCAACCTATTTTCTTGTCTTTGTCATATCAAGTAGCTTCAGAAGAGATTAGGAGGTGTGCATGGTTGGTGGGCTCTTCCTTGACTGTACCAGCAGCTTCTGCTGAACTCAACGTGTTGCTGGACATATTTTCTGTCTGTCCAGTCGTGTTCTTCCTAACTGATATCACAGCTTGCTGTGGCATGAAACATTCCACACTGCAGCAGACACTGGGAGAAATTGGGAGATCTATTTCAAATACATATTTTAGTGTTCTCACGCCTCCTCTGTTGACTCTTTGAATACCAGAAAGTCCTCCAGACTTCTACACATAAAGTACTTTCTGATCTCTTTAATGAAAACTGAAGCCAGTTCTGCAGCTCTTAATAACTTCTTTAACTATTCCTTCACTGCTCCTTTCATACCTTGACAAGTTATTGTTCCCATCGTCTCTCTGGGAGGCTTCCTGCTTTTGATATGCTACAAAATCCTTTTCTTATTCATTTGTATACCTGCAGTAAGGAACTTCACTTGTTTTTTTTTATGCTTGTCAGACCTTATACTGCCTTATAATTTCTTAGTTTGAAGATAAGTACCATTTTGTCTTTCTTTAAATATTTTTGCCTTTTTTGCAACGAGGGGAGAAAGGTATCCTTACTGTCTCTTCATCAGAATGTGCTTTGAATTTGTGCTGTCCTCATGCAGTCTGCCAACATTTTACCCACTGAGCTACACTTTTATACAACTTCACTGTTAATTCACCTTCTGAAATATCTTAGAAGGTGCTTCCCTGTATCTTCTCCTTATAGAGATGTCCCTTGGGAACACCCTGCAGTCATTATTACTGAAGAGGCTTTTTACAGTTCTCTGGTGTCCCATGTGTGGTGTGTTGCTCCTCAAAACTGTCCTCCAGTGGTCTCTCGGGCTCCTTTCCCTGACAAATGATCATATGTATTTTCTAAAGCTGTGCAAAGTGCCTGCAACACGTCCCTGTGCTGTGTGTTTGCCTCTGCTGTTGCTGTGCTCTCTGCTTTCAAGCCTCTCTAACATCCCCTGAGGTTTCTGGAAGTGCCACAGTGCATCCAGCTCTCTCAATAACACCTTTCCTATTTAGGTGTATAGTTTTGATCTCTTAAGATTTATTTTGGTAGCACTGAGACAAATATGACTTTTAATCTGTGCTATCATATTCCTGTAAGCACATTCTGCACTGCAGTTTCTATCTCACACCTTGTTATGAGCGTCCAAAAATTATTTATTTCCGCAAAAGGTGTTGGAGATGCTTCTTGTGATTCTGTTTCATGTGTCATTTTTTAACACCTTAACGTTGTAGAGCAAAATCCCATCATTATCTGGGAATACCTGTACAATTTTTGTTACTTCCTACTCGAACTTTACAAACTTGCACGTGATTCTCTTTCTAGGACACGACATTTTTTTACCTTTATCCTGAACTTTGTGTCCTCCTTCAGCTGTCAGCTTTGTTCAGTCCTTTAGCTTAAAATTTCTGCTGGAGGGTGGAGATCACACAAATGAGTCTCAGGGATCTGGCATTGAAATTGTGAGATCAGCCCCTTGTGCAAGGGGCTCTGCAGAGTCTTATTTTGGTGTAAAGAACTCTTGCTTCACTTAATCAACCTGCTCTTTAATTGACTAAGCTGAAATAAATATCTCAGAACTAAAAAGCACGTGCTTTTGACAATGCTTAATTATATCAAATTGACATTGCACCTGTAGTTCTATGAGAAAAAAGTTTAAACCTAAAGTTACACTGAAATCGAATCTGAAATTAGTTGGCACGTGATAACATTGACCTTTACCTTCTAAGAAGATGTTGGTGTGAAAATGAAAATAAATCATTATGCTGGAACAAATAAGAGCAGGGGAAAAAAGGCACTTCTTACTTTCTAAAATGACTTTTTTTTTCCCCCCAGGAAAATTTTTGCATACATCACCAGGTTCATTTAGTTTATGCAGATAACTTGTTCTGCGAGAATGTATTTCCTATCCTATGAAAACAATTCTTTTTCATGGCAGTGTGCTCAGTCTCCACTTTTCTGTTATTCTCTGGGTAGTCAGTGAATGAAATCCTGCTCATCTGAAATCCATATGTATGTCTACAAAATCTTTGCATGACTCCAGGAACCTGCTTTCTTTTTTTTTTTTTTTTAAAAAAAAAGGTCAATATTTGAGATAAATAATTATATTTTGTTAAGTACTCATGGAAATGAAGATCAGGCTTTGAGACTTAGCTGTTATATTTTTTTTCAGCTGATTCACATAAACCCTTTTTTGGCACTATTTCAGGATAAAACAGGAATGGACTTTGATACTGGAGTGCCGTAAGAAAGGTATCCCTCAATCAAAATACCTCAAAAATGGCTTTGTAGACATCAGTGAGAAGAACCTGGACACTTCTGGAAAGAATCCTCAGCTCCAGAAAAGACGTGCTTTGTCGGATGAAGCAAAAAAGGAAAGAAACAAGTTTATTTTCCAGCTTTCTGGAGAGCAGTGGACGGTAAATACAATAGAAAATGTGTTTCTGTTGTTAAAGAGTTTGGGGAGCTTAGCACTCTGTTTTTTAATCCTCCCCCCTTTTTTTTTTCCCCTCTCAATGCATATGAAGTTGCTGCTTTTTCACGGTGTTGGAAGTGACAAAAACATTTCCTATTTTAGCCTGAACTAGTGGTTTAGTTTTCAGGTGTGTGTATTTTAAGTTCTCTACTGATACGTGCAATTCATCCCTCTCAAAAATTTTTGGTGTGAGCAATCAAACTGCAATAAGGTGTCTTTCTCTGAAATTCCCCAGTGGGTGGAAAGAGATGAAAATAATAAATATTCAGCTCTGTTGCCTTGTTGATGTCTGCTGACGATCAGAGATCTGGATTCTTGCTCCAACACTGTGATAACACTTTCTCAAGCTCTGCTCGATTCAAAAGTAATGTTGGCATCAATCCACAATGGTCTTGCTGAAAAAACCCCACTTTTTACTTGCATTTTTGTTTGATGTAAAATAGGAGTTTGCAAGTAAACTCTGAATTAGTGCCAGTTTGGAATTGAGCAAATGGTGGATTAGTGTTGGTCTGAAGTTTTCTAGAGTTGTAAAAGCTTTGGCTGAAGTGTGGTTTGAAGAAATATTACTTTATTAATAATAAAGGTAAATTATAATTTTGACTTTTGTGTAGTCTATAATTTTGAAACATACCTTTCAAATTTTCGTTACAAAAAGTGTAAGTTAAAAAGTTAATTGACGAGATGGTTACATTTCACTAGAACAATTTTTTTTTCTTTTGATTGGCTTGAAAAGTAACTTTATCTTAGATTTGATCTTGAATATGAAGGTGTTTTCTTTTTGAGTGCATCAGGGAGCAGAGAGCTGCATGACTAAACTTTTCTGTTGCTTATTGTCTTTTGGCAAACCACTAAAATTTTGCTTTGTCACCACAAGCAAGGCTTTACGTTAGGAAGCTGCTTTATTTAGAGACCAATGCTCCTTCAAAATCAATGTCACTCTGTAAGAGCTGAAAATTATTTAAAAATTGTGAAAATTCACTTGACAAAGTTCTGAGAGAACTTTATTGTGGAAATTTTGTAAAATTTATATCTCTTTTATAAATCATACCACTTACTTTTCTTCTTAAAATCCCAACTACTGCTTCTAAACCGAAGGCAGACTCAGACATGAGTCTCAGATACTCTTTTCCCCTATTACTTTTTCACAACAAAGTGCATTTAGGCAAAACGAGTTTTCAGATTGTAAAACCCGGTGCTGGCAATCTGCATGTGAAAAAAAAAAAAATCAGTGGATTTATGACAGTTTTCTCAGAGAAGTCTGTATGTGATGTAGCTGAGAGCTGTGGTGTCAGTTGGGGTTTAGTTTTCTGAATGTGTTCTGCACACAAATACATTTATGAGTTGAAAGTTTGGGTGAATAAGCACTCAGAGACCAGGAGAAGTCAGAGGTGGGATTACCTGTGCAGATTTATGGGCACAGGAACAGCTGGGTTTGCTGTTGACTGGCAGCAAGAAACATCAGAGCCCTGTAAATTGTCCATTTGGGGACTAGCTGCAGAATCCCCTGTCTCACTTTTAGCTGATAAGTATTTCTATTATGTTTCCTCTTTCCTCCCGTCAATGAAGCAGTAATATATCCTCTAGATAGCTGATAGCCAAATCTGAGTAGATTACTGGCACAGATTTAATTTTGAGAACAGGGCTTTCTTCTGGGCTATGCCAGTTCTTTTTCTGGATGCTGTGGAGCTGAGTCTCAGAGGAGCAATCCCCAGCACGGGGATTTTTCAAGATCAGAGCAAGTGGCTTTACTACACGCTTCCCACAGGTCTCAGTGTGACAGTTCCGAGATGGTAAAATGTAGGCAGGTTAGAAAGGAGCTGCTGCTTCATGCTCCATACCCACATAGCAGAGCAGTGCATCTGTCCCGCTGTTTCTGCACTGTTGAGTCACCATGGCCAGGCTTCGTGAACGAAGATTTGGGAAGGGCTCTACTCACGTTTGTTACAAACACGCTGGTGGCTGAAAAGGCCAATACGAGACAGACACGTCCAACTGCAAAAGGCACAGCAGAAAGACTCCTTAGGTGGTAAATTCTGCAAGACACGATTCTTTCTGCGTTGTCTTTTCTCCTCAAGGGTGATCCTGGTGCGTTCTCAAAGGCATCAGCAGCGTTATAGATGGTGTGTCTCCAGGCTTCCCGATTGGAGGCCAGAGTAGACCAGTTCTGGTGATCAATGTGGTCAAGGCTGAGATGTTGTTTCAGGGAGTCCTTGTATCTCCTCTTTGGGGCTCCTCTCTTGCGGCAGCCGGTGGCAAGTTCCCCATAAAGCAGGATCTTGGGGAGGGGGTGGTTGGTCCTTCATCCTGGAGACGTGCCCTGCTCAGCACAGCTGTGTTCTCAGCAACATGGCCTCAATCCTTGTGACTGCTGCTTGTTCTAGAACAGATGTATTGGTCACATAATCTGCCCAGTGGATGTTTAGGATTGTACGGAGGCAGCGTTGATGGAGCGTTCCAGGAGTCGCAGGTGGTGGCGGTAGATGACCCATGATTCAGATCCATATAAGAGAGCAGACAGCACTATGGCTCTGGAAACACTGAGCTTTGTGCTTTTCTTCAAGTGTGTATTTCTCCAAACTCTTTTATGAAGCTTTCCAAAAGCACTGTATGCCTTTGCTAACCTGTTGTCCATCTCCCCGTCAATCTCACCATCCGAGGAGATGAGGCTGCCCAGGTAATTAAACTGCTGGACTGATTCGAGCTCTGATTCACCAATGGTGATGTGGGGATGATGGAAGACTTCCTGAGGTGCAGGTTGATGGAGAACTTCTGTCTTCTTTAAGCTGACTTCCAGCCCAAAGAGCTCAGCAGCATCTGCAAAGCAGGATGTTAAACGCTGCAGACTGTTGAGTAGGAGGTTGTAAAAGGGTTTTGTAAAACACTCCGTGATGGAATCATAGGATTGTTTAGGCTGGAAAAGACCTTTAAGTTCATTGAGACCAACCACAAACCCAGCAGGGATGCACCCAGTGCCCTTGGCAATGCTTCAGCCATGGGCTGGCTGGCACCTACAGAACATGGTCTCTTTATCTCTGAGAATATGTTGCTTGGCCAGAGCAGCTGTGGCTGGGTAGCAATATTCACCCAAACAAAAGGGATTGGGGTGGCTTGGGCAAATATTTTGAAAATAATCTGCAAAATTCACTTTTGAAAATAATATCAGACCTCCTTCTGAGAGCATTTGTGAGGGAGAAAATCAGAGCAGGTCACATATTTTGAATTACTGAGAGGAATTCCTTCCTTCAGGACCTCTTGCCACTTTTTTCCCCTCCTCTCAAATGTCATTGAAATGATAATGTATTTTCATTAGGTGGAGACCCACTGTTCCTTGTACTTGTAAAGTAATTATTTTAACACACCTGAGGAAAGATAAACCTCTTCAGGAGCAACAAAATAGTGGGGGAAAACAGGGTAATAATTTCATTATTATTAGCCCTAAATGCTTTCTGGTAAGCATTTTAATTTTAAGTGTATGGATGTGTTAGTGATTATAGGCCTCCTTAGATGTATGTATTTATGTGAAGAGGATGAATAGTGAGTGATTTATGGATTAAAAGCCCAGGAATTATGGCACAGTGCTCAAGGAGGCAAGGGAGCAGTTCAGTTTGGGCTTTTAACAGGGCTACAGTGAAAGGGAGATCAGTGAAAAGAGACTGGAAATAAGAAGATGCAAGTATAAAACAGGTTGTCTTAGAAGAAAGAAGAACAGTCAAACAGGATACAGCCAGCACTGGGCAAGTCTTGTGAGTGATGAGTACGGAAATTAAAATTGTTTTGATGCAACAGTGATGAATTAATAGTTAGGGAAGAAAAGGGCATGTAATAACAAATGGGCCAGTCTCACAATCACAGAATCTCAATCTGATGTTTGAATGCAACCTGTGAATGAAAGGGAATGAAATCAGACAGGTTTTCTCTTTGTCTCTTTTTATAAAAAGTGGTCAGAACCCAGTTGTATTGCCCCAGCACTGAGTCTCCTAAATCCTCCTCTGTTTGCAAAACACTTGTGTCTTGACAGCATGAGAATGGTGTAAAGTGCCACAAGTAATTCATGTTCCCAAGGTATGTTTCAGGAAAACCTTTTATCATCTGAGAGTTTTCCAGGCAAATCCGCTGCGAAAAACAGCTGGGTAAGGACCATGGACCTTTGAGTTGTGTGTTTGGAAACAGATGCCTGGGAAAGAATGATGCAGAGTTGATGAAACACATAATTGAGAACCTTTGTACACATAAACATGTATCTACTCAATTAAATTAGTACTTCAGAGAAAGAGCACTGCTACTAGAACTAGAAACTGAGGCAAAATAATGCCATGAATATTAATACGAATTTTTAAACGAAATCACTTTAACTCTGTTTTTCCCCTCTTGAGTGTTTACTTTCTGCTACTAACTAATGAGTGTTTATTCTCTAGTGAATCAGTGAATTTTAAATGCTTTTCAGAAAACATTCAGGATAAACAAATTTTTTAATGTGTGATATCAGTATTGGCAGAGGAAAGCTGATGATGCTCCTCAAATGCAGAGCAGGACTGTTCTTGGCCAGGCTGCTTTAGCTAAGAAGAGGATCTGGATGCATACCTACTTTAAACAATCTTAATGTCAAATGTACAGAAGAAAATGAGTGATAGTAAAATTCTCTACTCATAAGCCATGATCTTCTGGCATCTCAGGAGCATCTCAACAAACAATACTTGGCCCTATAAAATTACAGTAAGCATATTTCTACCTATTAATGACTAATGTCCATCTTTACACCTATCAGCTTTCAACATGCTTTCTTCTTTTCTTCAATCATCTTCTTGTTCTGGGTCACGGGACCTTTGGCTCCGATCGGCAATTGTTGCAGGCTCGCTTTTTATTTCCTTTTAAACCTTTTTTTCCCTCCTCTCCCAAAAATCAAACAAGTTTGAGGGTATTGTTTTGCTGTTAAAGGCAAAAGACTGGCTATCCTCCAAGTGTCAGTCTGGAGGTGATGTCCAGATGTTAGGAGGAGAAATTACGAGTTGATAGAATTATTAATGTTTACAGCTTGACCCCAGCACCCCTTTCTGTGCAGAACTGTAAAAAAAGAATCAAACAATTGTATTTTATTTGATTGGCCTCTATGTGGATTGGCCTCTTGCACAGTGGGTGAAAAACCTGTTTTGGGACTTGGTGCCAGTGCCCTGCCATGGAGGTGGGGACAGTGCTGGGGACCTGCAGCAGAGAGGTCCTGGAACAAGCTTCAAACCTTGTTAAAGACGTGGGAAATTTGGATTGAAACCACGACAGATAAAACTACAGAGCTGGAAAAGAAACAGAATTGAAAATTCTCAGCACTTTGATCACAGTTTTAGTTCAGGCTCACGTCTAGCAGGCAAATTCTCTCCTAATTAGAGAAATAGCATAATCAGCAATTGTTGTTTTATTTCCTTTTAAAACTTTTTTTCCCTCTCCCAAAAATCAAACAAGTTTGAGGGTATTGTTTTGCTGTTAAAGGCAAAAGACTGGCTATCCTCCAAGTGTCAGTCTTCATGAAGCAATTTATCAGCAGGCTGCCAGCTTTAGTGTGGCAGCAGAAGATTACAAAAGAACACAAGGGAATCAGAGAGCAAAGCAAACGCAGAGCTTGTGCAAATTCCAGCTCCCATCCCTATCTAGTTTGTAAATGAAGCAAAATATCACATCAATTTATGTTTCAGCAACACAAATATAAATGCTTTGTAAACGGGAGAATGTTGAAAAACCACACAATAGCAAAGTATTGGCACGCTTTCATTTGTAAATTGTGAATATGATTGTGTGATATAAAGAAATAATCTCGAGAAAGAAAAGTAAGTTGGCAGTTGGTAGAAGAATGGAACCTCTTTCTATTGTTTTGAAATTGTGTCTGAATGTATTTAGTTGCTGCACAGGATATCTGAAACTACCCTTAATGCTGACATAAAGGTTTTTCAGAATAAAATTATACATTAATAACACGCAGTTTTTCTTTCGTATTTTGGCTTAATTTTTGTAAGATGAGGAAGGAGTTTGATCTTGGTCTGAGAGGCAGCCTTGTTTTCAAAGGTGTCAAGGAGAAGTTTGTGGCTTCACAGGGGGAAACATTCCCCTTTGATCCCTGCTGTATTTGCCAACAAGGGGCTGGAGATGCTGTGTTGTGGAGCTGCTGTGTTGTGAAAATGTGGTGCAAAAAACCAGTAGGTCAGTAGAAAGGCAGACAGACCTGTACCCTGGAGAAACAGAGTGGAAAATAATGTCTGTTAACGCAAACACCTCTTTCCCTCCAGTAGGATTATTCCACTTTCTCTCTAAATCAGGGTTTTTCCCTACGTTGACAGGTATGACACTCCAGCTAAATGCTGCTCCCTATGGGCTGAATTTTCCATTCTTTACAGGTGGGAAAGACAACGCTAATTGAATTTGCAGATGGTATCTATTATTTTATTTTGCTGCAGAAAAATGGGCAGCAATGAAAGTGGAGATATGGAAACTAAACCCGGGAACGTTGGAGAGATTTCTCATTGCCAGTCCTGGGGCATTTCAGGCATTTTATTTTTTTAATTGCCATAAACTGACAAATGTAGAAGATGGATCCCAATGCAATATACAGCTAGTTGGGAAATGAAGCAAGACATGAAATGATCTGTATCAAATACAGGGCAGGTAGCAAGATAGAACCACATTAACAAAGGCTAAGGGTCTGCATGTGTAAATTTGGAAAGAATTGAAGAGAGGCAGCAACCACCAAACAAAGGACAGCTTCTGATCAAGAGTCCAGTATATCTTTAATTACAATTGGATATTTTAATATAGCTAAATTTTAAGTAGCACTATTCCTGATTCAAAAGTTCAGCATTAATTAAAAAAAACAATTAAAATGCATTACTCCTGTTAATGTTTTGGGGGATCTATGAAATCTAGAAGACAAGAAAAAGTAGGTAATATCCTTTGTACAAAAAACAGCAGTTCCTACTGTGTCATATTCTTCATGCACAGGAAACAAGTCTGGAAGTCATGAAGGAATCAAAGGCTGAAACTCTCACATCTCTTCTCATGGGGCAAAGTTAATGGCAGAACCTCTTCCAGACTATTTGTTCCAGATGTTACCAGTGCACAGTGTTATAAAACCCAGGACAGACTGGTAAATTATGTGATGCTTAAGAAGGCAGAGTGTAAATGATCTGACCTTCATTTTTTAGTAATTGATTTTTTTCTGTTTCAAGTTCAAGGAACTTGGCGACATAATTCAAACAAATACGTGCACATCTGAAGTGAATACCAATTAACTAAAGCAATTTTGTAAGAATTAAAGGCTTTATGACTTTTAGTTTCAGTCACATTGAATATTTTTGACAAATAGAATAGTCTGAAAATTACTTAGAAGCATATTTTTCCTGTGTATTTCAAAAACACTGGAATTCTGAAAACAAAGCATGACTAAATCAAGAATTACTTGCAATTGTGGACCAATTTAAAAATCAAGTATTTCTATTCTTCCTAAAGAAATCTAGTAAAATTTTTTAGAACGTTGTTGTAACAACTTAAGAAGTTAAGTAACTCTTTTTGGAAAAAGACTTTCAAAGGGTTGTATGTGTGTATCCTGTCTGAGATGGTTCTGTTCCATCTTGCCAAACAAATTTGAAACATTGGCAGGTATTCAGAACATAATCACACCTTTTTTTTTTTTTTTATGCTGACATACCCTATTTAAATATTCTCTATAACACTCACTCTTCTGTTCTGTGCTGCATTTTACTACATCTTGATGTGTGAATTAAAGCACTGAAATGTGTTTAAAAAAAAAAAAATCCTCCATCTGGAAAAAGGAGATAATGTGTGAGACACCAAACAGGTTGAGTGCTTGGGATAGGTTTCTGTTTTAGAGCAAATGATTGCATTAGAAGTTAGAAAATGAATATGTGGTTGAAAAACAGCTGCAGTGCTCTTCAAACACAGACAGCTCCTGTGAGGCTTTGGCAAACTGCTATTCTGCTCAAGATAATTAAGGCAAAGTGTTGAGGCTTGGCTGTGTTTAGAAACATGGCAGAACAAAATTCTAACTTCATGTTTTCTGTTTTCCTGTTCTTATTTCGTTTACAGGAACTCCCAGATTCTCTGAAACAGCAGACCTATCTGAAAGAATGGCACGTGAACAACACATTGATACAAACCATTCCAGCCTACATTGCATTATTTCAAGATCTGAGAGTGCTGGAATTGTCAAAAAATCAAATCCACCATCTCCCAGTGGAGATTGGTAAGTCAGTTCAAGATATTCAGATATTTATAGTCAAGCCATTTAACTCTATTACAGGTAAATGAGCATCTATGGATATTCTTATTAATTTTCTGGTAACTTTCTTCCTTGCTTACAGCCAACAGTCCCCTCTGCATTTTTACAGCTCTCTGGCTTTAATTATACTTGCCAAATTGTATGCAAAACCATGCATGTAGCATGGCTCAAACATGGGAAAAACATGGGTTTTGTTTTCTGACTGTGAGGCAGTTATTGCTTGCATCCGAGTAGATGGAGAGTTGTTCCTGAGAACAACTGGTGTTTTATGTTCCTTACAGGTTAACAAAAATAGAAATATTACAGAATTGTAAGCCTCAAACAAGATGAATTGAAACACAAGATTGTGGCAAAATGGAATCAAAAATATAATCCTGCATAAAATCTGTCTTTTGAATTTTTAAAGACCTCGGTAATCGTCTTCATTTAATAAAGGAGTAAATATATAAAGAGTCATTGAATCGTAGAATAATTTGGATTGGAAGAGACTTCAAAGATCATCTAGTCCCAATCCTGTTGTCATAGGCAGGGACACCTTCCACTAGCCCAGTTTTCTCAAAGCCCCATCCAACCTGGCCTTGAACACTTCCAGAGATGGAGCATCCACAGCTTCTCTGGGCAACCTGTGCCAGGGCCTCATCACCATCACAGGGAAAAATTTCTTCCCAGTATCTAAACTAAATCTACCCAACATGACATCAGGGGTTTTAGAGAAACAAATTGTTAATGTTTACACGCTTTGGCCTCTGTTATTTTAAGCTGTGTGCAAGAATTGTGTTTGGCTCTCCTGTGGTTTTGGATCAGACAACATAAAAGCTTGTTTGACAGATTGCTTTGATATTGAGAGGGATTTACTGCTGTAAAAAGTTGCTGTAACTGCTGGTACCTTTGGGAGTTGAGGAAACTATGAGGAAACTATGGTTTCCTGCACTATGAGTTCACCATTGTTGAGCCCATGGACCCAAGTGCACCAATACCTCAGCCTTTCCAGAATTCCTAAGCCTTCCCCATGACTGGCATTCCTTATGTACTCTAAGAGAAAGGCTAAACCCTCCACCTCCCTAGGTCTAACTGAGGAGCACAAGAAGAGAGAGAGAGCATCCTGAAACACAGAAAGCAGTTCTAAAATTTTCTGCTATTTTCTACTCTTTTCGTGCTCTATTAGAGTAACACTCATGCTTTTGATTTATCTGCTCACACTATGTTTCACAGAGAAAATTCTACATGGGCATTGAGATGTATTTTGTAGTTTCAACCTGGCATCTGAACACACTAACAGGTAATAAACAAGACACAAGCAGGAGATAATGGACATAAAATGAACACTGTTTTGTCAACACTTTGACTGAGAAACTTGAACAGGCCAGTGAATTTAATGGACAAACACCTTCCAAGAGGTGGTTTGAAAGAAAGGGGACATAGTATGGGAGGAAGGGGAAAGGACATAGCTTCCTGCCACAGGCTACCCTAAACCATTAAACAGAAGGTTTTAAGGGATTGCTGTTTAACAATGAAGGCAGGACAAAGTTTGTTGTCTCTTCTTGAAACATTATGCACTGTTAACGAAAACTGTTAAAGAAAAAAAATATTGTTAATCCTGCTAAAGTCTGTTTCCACAATAAAGGCACAAACACAGATCACAGAATCATAGGACTGTTAAGACTGGAAAAGGCCTCTAAGACCAAGTCCAACCATTAACCTAGCTCCACTTCATGTTCACCTCTGAACCATGACCCTTAGTGCCACATGTACAAGTTCGTTTTTTTTAAAATTCCAAGGGATGGTAATTCCACTGGTTTCCAACCTGTTCCGATCCTGACCAACCTTTCAGGGAAGGATTTTTTTTCTCATGTCAAATCTAGACCTCCTCTTGCACAACTTGAGGTCACTTGTTTTCGTCCTGTCACTCGTTATCCACAAGAAGAGATAAAACCTCACCTTGCTACAACCTTCTTTCAGGTGGTTGTAGAGAGCAATGAGGTTCCCCCTCAGCTGCCTTTTCTCCAGGCTAAACAACCCCAGCTCCCTCAGCTCCACCAGCTTTGTTGCCCTTCTCTGGACACGCTCCAGCACCTCAATGTCTTTCTTCTCATGAGGGGCTGTCGTGGTTTAGGGATGATATTCCCCAAGTTTGTGACCCCACTGGAGCACTCCAAACCACGCACCCCCTCCTCCCCCTTCCCCTGTGCCAGTGGCAGGATGGAGAGGGGAGCTGGAGGCACAAAAGGCAAAGATTATGAGCTGAGATTTTCTTTTAAAAGAACAGTTTACTGGAAACAGCTACAATACCAGTGACAGAGGGAAATGGTGCTACCTGACCCCCTGCTTCACACCACACTTACTTGACTGGAAGGGACCCCTTCCCCTATCCTGGGAAAGTGCCCCAGGTCCTGGCCATGCCCCCCTTCCTGGCTACTGCAAAAATTAACCCTGTCCTGTCTGGAACCAGGACAGGGGAACAGAATTGGACACAGGAATTTAAGGTGCAGCCTCAGCAGTGCCGAGTACAGGGGGACAGTCCCTTCCCTGGTCCTGCTGACCTTGCTATTTGTGATGTAGGCCAGGATGCCACTGGCCTTCTTGGCCACCTGAGCACATTGCTGGCTCTTGCCCAGCACCCCCAGGTCCCTTTCTGCCAGGCAGCTTTCTGGCCAACCTTCCCCAAGCCTGTAGCACTGCATGGGGTCGTTGGTGGTGTTGGCGTTGTTGAACCTTGTGCAATTAACCTCATTAAACCACTTATACAGCCTGTCCAGATTCCTCTGAACATCCTTCCTTCCCTCCAGCGGGTCAATGCTCCCACCCAACTTAGTGTCATCTGCAAAATGACTAAGGGGACACTCAATCCCCTCATCCAGAACAATAAAGGTTTTTAAAAGGCCTGTCCCCAGCACTGAGCCCTGGGGAACTCCACTGGTGACTGGGGGCAAAGTAGGTTGATCTGGTACAACCAATTCACTGTAGAGAGTAATGGAGAGGCCATATCAGACCTTTCTTGGGAAACAAGGAAGAAATTTTCAGTGTTTCTAATAGCAATCACTGTTCTTTCAATTACAGTAAAATGATATGTTTTCTGCTCGTCAGCAGCTTTTATGTTATTCCCATTTACTCCAACTTCCACTTTCACTGGAGTGAAACTCCCACTTTCACTCCAACATGCTTATTCTATTAGGTGTTGCTTTCTTCCTTTCAATGTTTTTGTTCCTTTTTTTTTTTCCTGTAAATGTTTGATTGGAAGAGCCAGAGAATGTCAGAGAACTGTTTTGCTGTGGGCCCCCCTTCAGGGACAGTATTATGGCACTCACCATCCCCTTCTTAAATGTGAACGCAGGTCCAGAATTTTGCTTTTCAAGATTCATTAAATCTAAGCACTCATCTGTAGACACACAGATTTGAACATCAGACACTGCATAACCAAATCAACAAATTTTCTGAGCCATAGACGCTGTTTATAAAGTAGTTCTACATCACAGCACTAATTCTAACCTGTGCAGAAAAAGACACACACTCACTGGTGTGCTTTAAAGCCAAACAATACAAAAAAAAGCCACTCCAGGAACTGTGCAACTGGACTGTTCAGCAGTTGTTTTGCCAAAACTTACTAATGGTTTTCAGTCTCACTGAATGTCTGTGTTGATGGATCACCTATTAGTAGTGCAGTGACACTGCCCTTGCTGTTAATGGCATAAATTACAGAGAAGTTTTGTCTTATTTTGTGTAATGCTCCAACTGTTGATGTGTAAGGGGACATTCTTGCAAATAGTTATGCTTTTATTTCTTATACTGTACATGCATACAGAGACAGACACTGATGTGCATTGGAAATGTTGATTATTTTCATAAGGCGTTATTATGAAAGGTCTTGGATATTTGGAAGGTTTTGGATACAGCTTCAACATGAAACATTTCATGCTTCAGTCAGCTTAGCTACTAAATTAGCAGAAGGAAAATAATCAATGTGGGTTTGATTTGGGAGCTCTGCCTAGGAAAGGAATGAAGACTGGCTGCTAAATCAGAAGATAAGGTAAGGTGTGTAGAAAGGTTAAGTGTCAAGATATGCACCATTTTGTTTTCTGTTTACAAAACAGCAGCAAGTAGATAAATATCACAGCTAAAATGTACTTGAGAGTAATGACAGATGGATGATGCTGGCTGTGACACACATCTTGCTGATGCTTTAATCTTCAGACAGAGTTGGAGCCAAATTTAGATCAACAAATCATCCTGGTGAGCCATGTCAGGGCTCCTTTTGATTCTCACCAGAGGGCTGTAAAGGTATGAAAGAACAGGAGGGGATGCGAGTATTTTCAGTGCAAAAAAGGTATTGCTGGAACAGCAGTGTCTGGACTAAAATGTCTGCAGGAACTCAACTGCATGTCCCTATTTTGCTGGGTTTAGAAGATAATGTTCCACTCTGAATCAGGGAGAAGAAAGACTCGGATCCATTCTCAGATATTTCAAATCACACTTTTGGTTGTAGTCACCTATGCACTTGAGCAGGCCAAACTTGTATCAGAAGATAGAGGAGAATGCTATTGATATGATTCTTTTTGTGTGATACTGAATATTTTAGGGGGAAATACATAAAAAAAAAAAAAGGAAAAAAAGGAGAAAACTGCATAATGGAGCTGTCTGTCTTAAAGTGGTCAGGTCTGGTTTGCCCAGAAACAACAGAAAAATTCATGAACAGGGCTGTAGCTGGAAGATTTTATTCGTCTTTGTGAGACTGCAGTTCTGGCTCTGACTACATGGCTGCAGTGCAATTCCTGTTTATGAATTAGTGCCACTGCATTAGTAATTGATATAACTGAAAATATCCAGCAGAATATATTCTCATATTCACATAGGAAGTAGTGAACTGCATTTTCATGTGATCCCAAAGCTTTTATGCTGGAATGGGATTGTAAGGCTATATCAGGATTTTTTTGTCCCACAAATTATTCACAAAACATCTCAAAGAGCTG